GATAGGTTACAAGTACTTTACTTTATGTTTTGATGATCTAACAAACTTACTATCCAGAACCAGCTAAGGAACCTGTTGCACATTTATAAGACCTCAAGATCACAAGATCCCAAGATGAGATTCAGCGGGATTTTTATTCAACCTTTCAGAAGTGGAAGGAGAAGCTGAGGGACCAAGTACCTACCAGTTCCCGAGGAGACTGCACGAAGTTAACTTTCCAGTTGGAAAGTTATTGCCTGCACATGCTACTGTGCAGAACACTGCTGCAGTCAACCTTCCAGGGAGGAATTTTCACCTACATTGCTTGCATTATTGCAAGTGATGTCACACATGTATAAATGCATGCAAGGGAGGTAAAACAAATGACTTTGAACATTTGACAAGCTCATTAATGTGACTATCTAGCAAGCAAGTTTCAAGTGCTTCAAGAACAAAGAACAAAATAGTTACGGATCAGTTCCCACATAGAGTTATTGTATGTCCTTTGTTGAGTTGTAACTTTATAATAGTTCTTTAATTGTAATTCTTATCTAGCTTGTTTAGAAGCATTCTATAGGAAACCATTTGTAAACCTTAAACTAGTGTGTTTGAGTCTTGCTAGAGTCAGTCATATTGTAAAATCTTTATAATAGAGTTATTACAAAGTAGCTTGTAATAGAGTATTACAAGTTACTGAGGGATTAAGAGGTTAATTCCTAGATTGCATAAATTGTAATCTAAAAGTTGCTCAGTAGTGAAGTTGAAATCCTACAAGGGTAGGTCGTGGTTTTTAATCCCGTTGAGCTGAGAATTTTCCACGTAAAATTCCTCTTGCCATTTAATTATTGTTGTGTGTGTGTGTACTGTTGGACCTAATAGAGAACCTGGTTCTCTATAGAGTTTGGTGGAGCATTATATTGTATCAATTGGTATCAGAGTAGGTTCTTTCTATCAGGTTAACACCTAGAAAGGATCCTCATGGCTGCTTCTCCAAACTTCGAAGAAGGATAGTCTACTTACAGACCACCTAGGTTCAATGGACAGTATTATGAATGGTGAAAAACTAGAATACATGACTTCATCATGGCTGAAGATTCTGAGCTATGGGATGTCATATGTGATGGATCATTTGTTCCTACCAAAAACCTTGGCGACCCACCAGTAGCCTTTCTCAAGACAAGGAAAGAATTCAACGATACAGATAGAAAGGCCATAGAGAAGAACTTTTATGTTAAGAAAATTCTAGTATTGGACCAGATGAATACAACAGGATATCAGCATGTTAGTTAGTCAAAGAAATCTGGGAAGACCTGCAGACAACTCTGAAGGAACAACACAGGTCAAACAGTCAAAAATCGACATGCTCACAACTGAATACGAGCTCTTCAGGATGCAAGACAATGAATCTGTCCAAGAAATGCATACCCAGTTCACCTCCATCATTAATGAGCTTCACTCCCTTGGTAAAACTATTGCAAGAAACAAGCTGGTTAGAAAGATCCTAAGCATGCTACCCAGTTCTTGGGAAAGCAAAGTGAATGCCATTACAGAGGCAAAGGACTTGCAGGAGCTAACTATTAATGAACTTGTTGGCAATCCAAAAACATACGAGATGAAAAAGAAGAAAGACAGTGAAAGAAGAGAGCCCAATAAGGAGAATAACCTGGTCCTCAAAACAGAAAACAACGAGTCAAGCTGTGAAGATGGTGATATGACATACCTAACAAGAAGATTCCAGAAGATAGTTTGCAGGAATGTTGGCATTCCAAAAAGGGAAAGTTATAGCAAGCCAAAGAATTATGATCTCTTTCATAAATGTGGCAAGCCAGGACATTTCATGAAGGATTTCCCTCTCCTAAAGCAGTATCAGTACAAGAACAACTCTGACAAAGCAGCCAAAAGGAACCTGGTTCATGACAGATGCTTCAATAGAAAAAATGTCGCCGACAATATTGTGAGACAAGCTCTTGCTGCATGGGGAGATTCATCAAGTGAATCTGGAAAATATGATGAACCAGGTAACAACTCTATGATGGCAGTAGAAAGTGAATCAATCGAGTATGATTCAATTTTTGCTTTGATGGCCCAGTCTGACGATGAAGATAACGATGATTATGAGGTAAATTTTCTGGATGTTCAAGGAAATCTGAAATCTTATTCTCCTAAGAAACTCATGTCTTTGGCAAATGTGCTAATTGACACTTATCATAGTCTTGTAAATGACATAGATGTCTTAACAGTTGAACTAGGAGAAGTAGAACAGTCTAGAGATAACCTAGTAATAGTTGCAGTCGATCTAAGAGAGTCAATTAAGAACCTGAAGAAAGAAAGAAATGTCTTAAAGAAAAGGATTGAAAATGTAGAACAAGAAAGAGATGACCTTCTAGTGGTAGTAATGGACTTGAAGGAAACGATTGGGAAACCTACAATGGAAAGTAGGGATGAAAATTATCAAAAAGGAAAGGAAGTTGCAAGCGAGGCACATATTAAGCTTGAGAAATGAACTAAAGACAATGCAGTATAGTCTGTGTGCTGAGCTTGAGAAAAACAAACAACTTCAGGAAGACCTAGGTAGAGTGAAGAGTGATCTTGAAAAATCACTCAAGTAGACCTGGTCCTCTGATGGTATCACTGCCATGTACTCCAACAATAGGGGAAATAGGAAAGGGATTGGGTTTCAAAGGTAAAAGATCCTTACATCCCTTATAGCAAGTATGTTAATGTACCTGACAATTGGCTTTGCACCCACTGCGGTAACAATGGGCACCTTAAGAATACTATAAGGCCAGATGTTAGTCACAACAGAAAAATAAAGCCTTTGCTGAAAAAGTAACTACTAGTAGAAAACCTGGTCTCTCATTTAAAAAATGCATAATGCCTGCATGGAACAAAAGATCCGTTATTCACCCCTTTCCTCATTACAAGGGATCCAAATTGGCTTAGTTTCCTAAAGTTAACCCTTAATATTCTTGTGCAAGGAATAGTGAAAGGAAGCAGCCTACAATGGTACATGGATAGTGGCTTCTCAAAGCATATGACTAGAAGTACAAATAATTTCCTTTCACTAAAGGCCCTGCAAGGAGGGAGTGATCCTTTGGGAATGGCAAGAAGGGATACATTCTAGGAGTTGGAAGAATTGGGAAGTCTCTCTCTTACTCAATAAAAAATGTGTACTATGTGAACGACTTGAAGTATAGCTTACTAAGCGTTTCCCAAATTTGTGACAAGGGAAACAAGGTCAAGTTTGTGTAAAAAATCTGCATAGTGACGAACCTAATTACGGGTGAGGTGGTGCTAGTGGCAAAAAGATACAAGAATACCTATGTAGCTGATTTTAAGTCGTTGAAAAATAGCGATTTAAGTTGCCTAAGTGCTGTTGATGATGATACTGAGCTATGGCACAAAAGGCTAGGTCACGCAAGCTTTACGTTATTGAACAAATTAGTAAGGAAGGACCTGGTTCATGGTCTACCCAAATCAAGCTTCAAGGATCACAAAGTGTGTGATACATGTGTAAAATGGAAGCAAGTCAGATCTTTGTTCAAGCCCAAAAAGGAAGTCAGCACCACAAGGCCACTCGATCTCCTTCATATGGATCTATATGGACCTATGAGAGTATCAAGCAGAGGAGGAAAGAAGTACATCTTTATAATAGTCGACGACTATTCCAGATTCACTTGGACCTAGTTCCTTAGGACTAAGGATGAAACCTTTAAAGTGTTTGTTGCCTTTGTCAAAAAGATCCAAGTGAAGATGGGTAATAAAGTAGCCTGCATCAGGTCTGATCATGGGACATAGTTTGGCAATGCCAAGTTTGATGAATTCTACACTGAAAATGGCATCACTCACAATTTTTCTGCTCCAATACACCTTGACAAAATGGTGTTGTGGAGAGGAAGAATAAAACTCTTGAAGACATGGCAAGAACCATGCTAATTGACAGTGAGATCGCAAAATATTTCTGGGCAGAAGTTGTCAATACTACGTGCTTCTTAGTAAACAGGTGCATGATCTGGTCCCTTCTGAACAAAACTCCGTATGAACTACTGAATGGAAGGAAGCCCAAGATGACATATCTAAGAACTTTTGGGTGTAAATGCTTTGTTCATAACAATGGAAAGGAAGCTCTTGGGAAGTTCGATGCCAAAAGTGATGAAGAAATCTTCCTGGGATACTCATCTCAAAGCAAAGCTTACAAGGTCTACAACAAAAGGACTCAATGTGTAGAAGAAAGCATTCATGTGATTTGTGATGAAGCTCACCTCTCCTGTGAAAAGGATAGACATGTTGATCAAGATGGAGAGCCATTATCTGTGCCAGGTGAAGTAATTGGCATAGCAAATGGAAAGGCAGACATAATGAGCCATGCCAAGGAATCCAGTGAAGAAGATGCAAATACATCTCCATCAATTGGAGAGGAACCTGGTCCCTCGATTACAACAACTGAAGCTAAAAAATAGAGTTGTTGATGCAGTCCAAGGAACCCCACTCTGTGAAGAAAGAAACGCTCAAAAATCCCAGTCAGATGTGCCTGGTTCCTCTACTAATGAGACTCAGGCACCAAATTGGAGGTTCAAAAGTTCACATCCTCTTGACAACATAATCACTCCTCTTGACCCAGAAGTTCAAACCATATCAAAATCAAGGAACTCACTTGCCTTCTCAACTTTTATTTCTCAAATAGAGCCTAAAAATATAAAGGAAGTGCTAAAAGATGCAGACTAGATCACAACCATGCAAGAGGAGCTGCATCGATTTGAAAGGAACAAGGTATGACACCTGGTTCCTTGACTTGATGATCGAACCATTATAGGAACCAAGTGGGTATTCAAAAACAAGATTGATGAGTTTGGAAATACAACAAGAAACAAGGCAAGACTTGTGGTTCAAAGCTATAATTAGGAAAAGGGATTGATTATGATGGGACATTCACTCCTGTAGTTCGAATGGAAGCCATTAGAATTCTGATTGCCTTTGTATCTCATATGGAGTTCACTCTATTCCAAGTGGATGGCATTTCTAAATGGCTATCTAAAAGAAGAAGTCTATGTCAAGAAGCCTCCTGGTTTTGAGTGTCATGAACAACCTGATCATGTGTTTAAACTAGATAAGGCATTATACGGGTTAGAACAGGCTCCCAGGGCTTGGTATGAAAGATTGCCAAAAAAATTTCTGGAAAATGGTTTTGCAAGAGGGAATATTGACAACACTCTTTTCCTGAAGAAATAAAGTAGGAACCTACTCATTTTTAGGTGTATGTCGATGATATCATCTTTGGAGCCAAAATTGGCTCTCTCTGCGAAGAATTTGCTAAACTCATGAGGAGTGAATTTGAGATGAGTATGATGGGAGAACAGAATTCTTCCTAGGACTTCAAGTGAAGCAACCTAAGAAGGGAACATTGATAAGTCAACAAAAGTACATCAAGGAGCTGTTGAAAAAGTTTGATATGGAAGCCTCAAAAGTTATCGATACACCCATTGCAACAGCTATTCATCTAGACACGGATGAACCTAGTTCCCCTATAAACCAGACCATGTATAGAGGAATCATAGGGTCACTATTGTATGTCACTGCAAGCAGACCTGACATTGTTTTTAGTGTGGGTCCTTGTCCAAGGTTTCAATCCAATCCAAAGGAATCTCATCTGAAAGCTGCCAAGAGAATATCAAGATATCTCAAAGGAACATAGGACTTGGTCCTCTATTATCCTTCAGGAAACAGTTTTGATCTTATTGGGTATGTTGACACTGATAATGTTGGATATCTAGTGGACAGAAAAAAACACTTCTAGGATGGCACACTTCCTGGGTTCCTACTTAATCTCATGGGGCACAAGAAAGCAAAATTCTGTGGCACTTTCAACTGTAGAAGTTGAATATGTAGCAGCTTCCTCTTGCTATGCTCAACTTTTGTGGATCAAGCAACAATTGGAATACTTCGGAGTATTCTCAGATTGTGTGCCTCTCTTATGTGATAATACTAGTGCACTCAACATGGCAAAAAATCCAGTTTAACATAAGAGGACAAAGCACATTGATGTACGTCACCATTTCCTCAAAGACAATGTTGAGAAAGGGCTTATATGCATGAAATTCTACAGCACTGAAGACCAAATTGTAGTTATATTTACCAAGGCCCTGAGCAGAGAACACTTCGAGCAAAATCGTCTGGCATTGTGGTTTATAAAACCCAATTGAGAACACGGTCCCTCAATGATTGGCTATGAAATAAAGGTTCAAGTAAACTTAGCTAAAAGGTGTTTTCTGGTAAAGTCTAATTCATCTCTATACTATTACAAGTAGACACGCTTGATGATTACATAGCAAATAAGCATTTGAAGTTGTACACTGGTAAAAAGGGAAAACCTTACAGACAAGAGATCAATTAGGGAACCTGGTTCTCCTGACATAGGTTAGTAGTTTCTACGTTCTCTCATGCACAATTCTGAACAATGAAAACAAGTGCCACATCATCAGCATGTCAGCGTTTAGTTTGCATCTTTTAAACCCTAACGCCTCACCAGTTATAAGATCGACCCATCTCCCTAAGACCTGCCGCCCTTTTTCTAACCAATCCCTCTGTCATCATAAATACATCTATCTCTGTTACCACACTTCACACATCAACACTTCCAAACCTGTTCCCTGTTCACTCTCTCTTCAGGTCACCAATTCTTCTCCTTCTCTCACTATGGCTGAAGATCAATCGATCTCTAGTATTATCGAGTCCTCACCAGTTGAAACACCAGCACCAGTCTCTCCTCCTCACACTACTGATAACTAAAACCCTAGAACAGAGTCACCCCATCCTTCATCTCCTCTCCTACCCATTCAAGTTCTTGCTCTTTCAAGATTACCTTACTCTCGCAAGAGGTGTTTCCCAGAGCTTATATCTCACCTCGCCAAAAAAGAGGGATGTCATGAATATTGTTGAGAATGAAGGAAATAAAAAATCTCAAGTTCTCCTATAGAAGAAAAGTCAAAAATAGACCAAGTTGAGGGAAATAAAGTCATCAACTCAATTGAGATTGTCCCAAACCTCAGTCCACAAGTGCCTCTCCTATTTCTCCTAATCCTCTCATGAATCTGCAAGAAAAGGAAGCAATCAAAAATATGTTGTCCATCGCAAATAAATGGGTTTTTGTTGGAGGAAGTGAGGATGGTCTTAAGACTCAAGGGGAAACATCTGAACCTGTTGAGGAGGATAGTGAGTGTGTGCTTGTTGATCCTGCGGCACAGGAAGGTACTACTAGGGAACCTGTTGAAGGACTTGATCCGCCTTCAATTCAGGAACCCCAGGTTAGTACTGACCCTGCTCCCTCTCCTCATTTAGACATTGAGCCTCTAAATGTAATCATGCCTGAGATAGGTCCTACGTCTGACAATCAAAAGAAGAATAGTGAAGAAGATTTTGATGACTTACCAATCACAAGTCTGCCTAGTCGAGGAGTAGCTATTGGTGAAGAGCCCACTTCTAAGCGACCCACAACAAGGTTACAAA